ATGCCTCTTCTCATTCCACCTGTCCACCAGAGGGCGGCAGTGAGTTTCAGCTGACTTCTGACTGTCACTAGTGATTGACCACTTACCACCAAACCAGGTCTTCATTTACCCTTCTAGTGTTGAGGGGAGACAGTTTTTCATTTAAATCTGCAGTTATTAAATTGTGTCCTGATTGAACCATTCATATCAGCCAGTTTGTCGCCATCACACTCGCAATGAACTACCTCTGACCTTTAACCCAATGTATTCCCAGAGCAGGAACGCATTCATCACTCATTCCTCCTGTGCATATGATTCCACACATTGCATTATTAAACTCAGTGAGTTAACTTTAATTTGAATGAAATCCAATAAACAAACTTGCCTGCAGTGGAAATGCTAAACAAAGACCAGGCAACATAGGCATCATGTGCCTGTAATGCCGTTAGCAGTCGTTCTTGATGGGTCATTAAAAATTCTTATTGAAGTTCTGTTTGCCCACAGCAATGTTGATTTTCTTTTGATGGCTCTTTTCTCCTTCACAATTGACTTTCTAGGACAAATTAAAGGCTCATCTAGGACTATATTAAGTAGGCCAGCAGAGTTTATTGGATGAACTCGGACTTGGATTGGACACTTCCAGGGTTTATTTAATTATCTGCTGCTGAAGAATGGAAAGGTATATCAAGATGTGAAGCACACAAGCCTCTTAATTCCAAGAACAACAGCAACTATATTAGGTGTGGACTATATTGGATAAGAAAAGCTTTTTATGCTTCTTCAGTCCATTGAGAATTAGGGAAGTCAGCTTTCTCTTACTTTGGACCATTAGTGTGGAATCAAAAAGGAACTTAAACTGTCTGATCTGATTCCCAGAGGAATCAGATCAGACAAAAAAAGCCTTTGTGTCTCCTTTTATTCATAGTTTTATTAACCCTCGTGTGATCTTAACATTCTGTTTACTCCCCTTGTCCTATGGGTCAAAAATTACCCGCCCTAACAAAAGCCCCAAAATAAAGCAGTTTACTTGAATTTGAAATCCAAAATCTATTTTGCATTATGAACCAATATTTTATTTATCAATTCAACTCAATTTAATTCATTTTATCATTTTTAACATGTACAATACAAAAAGACAATCAACAGTATTCCGCTTTTCTGGGGGCGGGGGGTTTACGGCAAACCAACTGTCATAAGTTTTCTTTTACACTGTAAAGGTTTATTATTGTAATTATATAAATGTGAAATAATTACTGTTGAACTAACTATACTGAAAGGGAAAAAAGTCAACAATCAGTAACTTTTTTGTTAACAGTCCATTCATTTATACTGTTTAGGACATCAATTATAAAAATACTTCTCTCATGCAACATCCTCCAACATGAAATGCTGAAAATGTTCAACAGAAAAATATTTTCAACATAAGATGTTGACCAGAAGATGTTCAAAATCTTATTTTTAGCGTCCTGCAAAATTGTTTTGCAGGATGTTAAATAATTTTGCAAGATTTATGTTCTTCTTGCAGATCAAGATGTTCAAACTTCTGACCATAACATTGTCAAAATCTTATAACTTATATCTTATAACATTCTCCAAAATTATATACTGTAGTTGAAACTTAAAATGTAAAAAAAAAATAATAAAAAACTCAATAACATCTAAGCTGTCATCTGTGTGTATTTGGTGGGTCTGCATATACTGTTTATGATCTTCTTTCAAGAAGGACAAATGCATGCATTTAAAAAATGAACACATTGTGCTCCTGTGCAGACCAAGGAAGTTTGTTCACACCAAACACCCATTCAGGTCCTCATGGACCTCACTTTGTGGATATCTTCATTAGTTTCTCAGTTTTTCTCTGAACCAAGCTTTGCTTCTTTATTTATTATTATTTATTGCCAACAGCATATTCTAATACCCAAAATGTGTTCTGTATGTAGAAAAGAATGAAAACAGGAGAAAAACATGCACCAGGGGGAACTAACTTCAGGTTATTAGGTTAATTCTTGACTGGTCAGTCTCATAATGGAGTACAAACAGAAGCTGATATGCTGAGCCTTTCAAAACTAACATTCAGGTAAAATACACCAAAGCCCCACTGTGGAGAAAATAAATATTAAAGTGTCTCACTGTTAACTTTGAAAGAAGTTCAACTACCATGCAGAGTATGAGAAGCAATTATTTGATTCTTTCAAATTAAAAAATTAGCACTAAAAGGCTCTATTGTTAATAAATTAAGAGCAGGCAGAACTCACTGCACAGCTTCGAAGCACTTCTTAAAAGTCTTGTTATTGAGCACAATCTCACATCTATACCCAGCATTACAAGTTGATGCTCTACCAAAGAATTTGATGTTCTGCTGCTGTTTTAGACTTGAGCTCATTTCACATGAACAAAGATAAAGTAGAATATTATCAGAGAGTTTAAAATCTAATTGACATGAATAACCTGTGTATCCTTGAGGATCACAGGCTGCTGTTTTCACAAAATGGCTAAGTGGAATCAGCACTCACTCTGGCATTATTTTGAAAAGAAGAGGTGCTGCAGCTCAACAATTAACACACCCCTGGATGAACTTTTGGGAAAGAGCTGTGGGTGAAAATCTCAGAATAAATATGTTTTAGTCCATCAACGTTCAACATGTCTGGTATAGCTTTTAGTTAAATTTACAGTTTAAATTAATGATAATTACAGATTATGTTTTATTTACATATTTCTAACATTAAAACCTCTTTGAAAACTAGTCTAGAATATTATGCATATTAATTATTTATTGAAAAACAGTATGGTTTTTATCTATTATCTCTAAGAACTAGCTTACAGAAGACTATCAGGCAATTTTTGAGATGAAAACATACAAAAAAAACAATGACTGTTTTGCCAAATTTCTTTACAAATTCTCTGTAGAGGTAAATGGTAAATTGCTGACTGAGGTACTTTGAAAATATGCATCACATATGTGCTAAAAGGAGCACTTTCTTAGTAGACCCATTTCCTGAGCCAGTGTTAAACATACTGCCCAGAGTTTGATTTAAAATCAAGCAAACTGACGTCACATACTGTCCAGTGTAAAACAAAATATCACTGTCAGTTTATTTTCATATTTTGTTAAAATTTATTCAAATAAAACATACCCTTACAACAATTCATCTACTGTCTTCTATGTATGTCACCTAGAGTCTTAGAGAAGACATAGATTAATGCGAATATCTAGTTTCCACAAGGATGACAATTTCTGTTTTTCTGTGTTTATATTCACATTAGTTTACTTAAATTTTACATGAGATGTGTTTGAAATCACTGCATTTTCAGATATATTATGGCAACAAAAACACATTGAGGCTGATTGGGCTGGATTGGTGGACTGGAATGACAGCCATGATGAATGTTTTGTTTCCAGTATAACTCTGGACGAGTCCACAAGAATATGAATGGGTGTTTGAGGACCAATAACACATTAAAGCCTATTAAAAAGACATTGAAGGAAACTAACCCAAAACGTTCAGGCAAAATAGTGAATAAGACTGAAGCAACTTGCAACTGACATTTTACACCATCTTCAGGGAAAATGCATTGTGCTTACTAAAGTCAACAAATGTCCTTGAAACTCACTTCCTGTCACATGGAATAAGAGTCACGGGTTGACTCTTGTTAATCAGAGCTATTCTAGCTGTCTAGTCTCAGTCTTTGTGACATAGATCTCAAAGAATGTGTTCTTTTGATATCTGTGATTCTGGTGTTCATTGTGTTAGAAAAATAGTTTTTCTAACACAAAACTAATAAAACAGTTGACAGTTTTTGTTATCTATTTATTAGAGGACATGATCCATGATTTTAATGCTGTGTTATTATATTGCTTCTAGTTTCTTGTACAAAAGATTTTCAAAGTGTGTTCTTTGTAAATAGTTGTTGCCTGCTCACTTATACTAATGGTCAAAATTACAAAACAATTCAATAAGTTTTTGATGTGCTTGAAAAAATAGCCGTTATAAACATTTGAAAGGGAAAAAAAAAACTCATGTGCCCAGTTGGATCAGTGAATGAGAATTATTCATAAACAGGAAACAGAATGTTTTCTTCACTATTTATTCTTTTCAAAGAAGGTCAGACTGCCCAATTGAGTCAAGCTTTATTTGTATCACCAATTTCTGGCTCAAAGCAACATAATGGTTATTTCATATCAAAAGATTCTAATACTGTAAAAATGAGAAAATATGCAAAATGTGTGCCTCACAACAAAACTGGAACAGAGTTCAGTCATGCAGTCTGTAGAGGAAGGAAGGACGCCTTTCTGTGGGGATGAATGTCTTTGATACGACCCTTTCCAGGATGTTGACTAACTACTTCCCAGCCATCAGAATGTATAAATACATTGTTTGTGCATTAGAACAATCAATAAACAAACCATAAACATCAAGGTATGTGAGCATAGAGGACTGAAGGACTGATCAAAGAGGTCCCAGCATCACACTTCAAGCTGAAATTGAAAGGTGTTGAAGCCCCAAGGTGTGAATGGCCCTGATATCAGATAAAAGCCAGGCAGGAGATCCAGTGATCAATGCCTTCTCTCTCTTTCGAAAGCTACGTACATTAAATTCCCCTCACACTGTTTCTGTTTTAAAACTCTTTTAAGAGAGTCTTTGCTCAAACGTGTCACGTCCAATGTCTGACAACAGATTTTTTTTTTTCTGGTCTTTGGTTTGACATGATCGTAGTTACAAAGACTTTAGATTGCATTGAAGATGTGCAGACTCTCATAGATGTATCTCAGATTAAAATTAATTTTATGGTTGCAAAACAGTTTGACTTATAATCATGTGATGTGTGTCTGTGAGCTGTCTTCAAGCTTCCAACTCTAATTACATCTGTTCACCTGTGTAGCTGTATTAACTCTCTTTTTATAGCTTTTGGTTTCTCCAGCGCTTTGGATATGTCAGACTGACGTTATTTATTTAAAGCACATTTAGCAAAGATATGTTTCTGTTGCTTGACTCAATATAAATGACATAAAACCCTTTTGGCAGTGTATTCAGATGTATTTTATTCAACATGAAACAATTTTCAGTAAGAAATAGATCCATATGTGTGAGAAATGTGTCTTCTTTAAAAAGTTAAAAAGTTGAAGTAGCCTATACAAAATAAATAGAAAAAAAATACTTGATTTGTCTTTGCTGCTCCAGGATTCATTTTGCTTAAAAAATGTATTTTAGAAAATGCAATGAAAGGAGGGGTCTTGAAAAATAAAACAATAAATTAGAGAGTGGTGGTCGTCGCTCATGACACTCAGAACCTGCAGCAGAAACCACAGCCTTTGTTCTTGCAGCAGTTGCAGCAGTAGCGACACAACGAAAGGTGACTCTGGCGCTTTTCCCTGACATGTTTTGGCATCTGTGTGAAAGACAAGAGACATGAACAAAGTGTCACCAGCAGCACTTCCTTCTCTATCTGTGTTTGAGAGAGGACAAGGCTGCTCTGTGGGGAAAACAGCATCCACTTAAACTTTAATTTGCTCGTGGTAATTGGCTTAATTCATTCAGTCAATTGAACATACCATCCACGATTCCATTGACACCTCTTGATGTGCCTCAACTGGAGTGTCATTGCCCCCTGCCTCCTCCAGCTCTCCGACCTGTTAATGAATTATGCACATTTAAGAGTCACATCTATTCTTCCTGACAAAACATTTGGAGCTGACAAGTAAGAGAGGTGAATTTGAGTTAAATTCTTACCCCAGTGAACGGGATGGCAGAGCACTGCACAATGCAAATAAAGGCGAGCACGAGTGTCACTGCAACTGCAATGCTGAATGCCTTCATTTTGGCTGAGGTTATAAGTCCTTTGAAGATTAGAGCTGATGGGTCTTCTTTCGCATGGGTGTCAGGCCAACGCAGAGCACCACTGCGTCCTGAATTATTGCTTTGCTTCAGAGACGGATGCCGATTCTCAACTGGATTTCTTCAGATCTTTGGCCGATCCTTTCAGCTCTTCTCGCATCTGTGAGTTGAATATGCAGAGAGCGTAGGAATTTATACACTCATGGGCCCGGTGTTGCCTCATCTCCGCTGGAGGCCCTGCCCATTCCTGGCAGCTGTTACCTAACTCCACTGGGGAAGTTTTGACCTCCTCATTCCTCTTCATCCTTCTGCACTTCTGCAATCCTAGGGGGGATTTCTCCAAACTATCTCTTTTTTTAATGTTTGTCTTTTCTCTCTCTGAGACAGCATGTAATTCCACACTTGAACAATATTTTTTTTTAATGATACACATATATGTGCAATATGTATTCAGTAACAGAGGCTATCAATAGAACAGATCTTACAGAAACAGTGGAGATTTCCCAGCAAAAGGCTGACACTGCACAGGTCGTTCTAGTGCATGGATGACTGAGCCGAGTCCATTTCGACCCAGGATATTCTTCATGACAGTGAACCAGCCGCTTTGGAATATCCATAGCTCAGTCTAAAGGATGTAATTACAACCTCTCAAATGGACTAATTAGCCCTGATTTTCGACATGTTCAGATTTTGCATAATGTGTGGGAACCTGTAGTTGAACCAAATTAAATCCTTTCGAGAGCAGTGACTGGTAGTGAGGATTAAAAAGCTCCATTTGGGAGTCAAGGTGTTTTAATATGTATTAGTTAAAGATGAGGAAAGTAATAAAATTAGGCATATTCTGTTCAAGCAGCAGAAAATTAGGATTGTTTGAGATGTTTCACTGTAAAATCTTAATGCTAGTGCTTTTTAAAGAATCACATTATTTATTTATTTATTTATAATTTCAAAGCTAAAAGCTCCATACATAAAAGATGAGTCCTTGTAAAATCTTCACAGAATCAAAATTTTGCCTTTGGCATTATCAACATATATATCACATTTAAAACAAGTAGTTTTAATTTCCGAATACTTTTATTAATATTCCACACTGTCAATCAAAAACAAATAAGGATCACAAAAAAGTCCATAAATCCTAAAGAAATGCCAGGCCAACCAAATCTTTGTTGTGATTTTGAGGTAAAATATCCATGTAGGAAAAAAGTGTCTGTATTCTTATTATATAGTCAAATATTGATAGAAAAAAAGAAAAACTTCTAAAAGGTGTCTTCAGATTGGTTATTCGAAAGTTATTTAAATTTTCAGATTTTTTTTTTCCATGTATATCATAATGTAGAAGACGCAGTAAAGAACATCGTAGAACTGATGGTACATATTCCTGCTTCCTTGAAGACAAAGGAAGCAGGGACATATTAAAATATTGCCTTATTAGGAAAATATTAATAAAATAATCATCAGCCCTGCAGGAGGGCTCAGGCCTGTTTAATAACCATGGAATCATGATAATAACAGCCACTGTTCTGAATTCATCACAATTATTTCGACTCATATTTGGAAGGCAGTGACAAACAACTAGAGATTAATTAACCTTTTTGTGAAAGAAATCTCCTCCCCAACAACATCAGGCTGTGAATTAATGCAGAATCAATGCAGCTAAAAATGATAACAGCAAAATACAAAGGTGCAAACTGATAAACGGTGAGCCGTGCTTGCTGATATTAATCAGAGACCATTTGAATTCTCATTATACCTTCAAAGTATTTTTCAAACTAACTCAGCCGACTCAATTAAGGTACAACAGGTTGCAGGATTTCTGCGCCAGCCTGTCTCGTTCGCTGATAACCCTGCTGGCCCATGTGCTTGCTTTGGGTGACCACATCGTCAGTGTCAACAAATACAATCAGGGATGGCTCCATGTCTGTTGGAATCTGTCCATCATTTTGTAGCATTCAGTGAGAATCAACATATTGCCACCACTGTCAGAGATTCATATTGTTTCTGTGGAACAGAGGGTTCTGCTTCACTGTTTGCACTTGCGTAGGATGTCCACTTATGTGAAACATTTGCGTGCCAGGATTCATAGTGTGTGACTCGACTCATGTGATGTGAATGTGACCATTTTCAACCACAGCAAAACAAAAAATAAAAATAAAAATAAATGGATATTAAGGGTGTCTTGTAAACTAGAAAAAGCAAGAAATGGATATACTATTGACTTTCACAGGAAAGTCCAGCGTCTCTGATGAGGCCATCATCAGCGACCTGCTGGCCAAACAAAACCAGGCACCAGAATGGCGGACAGATTCACCTCAGCAGGCGCCACTCCGCCTTTTCTCTCTCAATCGAGGGCATTGCCCCCGTCTGTCCCTGTTTCATCTATGTCCTCTATCCATGTCCCTGTCCGCCGCCCCATGTACCAGGCACTGTTACACATGTTTATCTTTTCTTAAAAACGGCACATAAACACATCACTAACACCTGAATCACAGAACAAATAGAACCAAATTATTTTCCCCACATGCAATTGTGATGTTTTTGCCCCCCAGCAACCTTAAAGAAGTAATGACACATTGTAAATCCAGAGTTTGCTAATCATTGCTGGGATTTCCCCACATGTAGCTGAACATGAGAAATTTTGCAGTGTCTTGACAGGAACTTCCAAAATACAACAGAGGGTGAATGGCTTTGAACAAGAATGGGAAGAGGATCCTCAGAACTTTCCCTGCATAAAAATATCTGCATGGGAAGTAAAATGATATCATAAACTGAGATACATGTGAAATATGCATTCAAATCAAAAGCAGGCTTAAAGATTATGAGCTTAGTGTGATTTTATAAAACTTTAAGTTAGTTCTCGGTTTCTTTTACATTTCTACATGACTATAAAGTTTAAATCCATCAACGGTTTGATGACTAATAAAAATGTATTTATGTCTTTCTCTCTCTCTCTCATCCTGTCTTTTCCTTTCTTCCTTCCTTCCTTTTTTCAAGCTTGAAAGTACATCATAATTGCAGACTGCTGCCAATAAAAGTCTGAATGACTTTTTCGAGATCTTTCAGCCTCATGAACAACCACAGCATGACATTACGTTAGAGTGGCGAGACCGCTGCTATTCTACTCAACTTCTTGATGTATGATTTAACACTAAAATCCCTTTCTAATGCACCCTTTTAGTGTGTTAAAATGGAAAATGCTTTACTTATATCTTTTTTATTATTCCGGTCAGCTGTCATTTTATTCAAACTAGGAAGATGAATGTTATAATTTACTCCTTATGGAGCAGTTAAAGCATTTTGATTATACTGGTTTTGCAGAGGGTGCTACTTAGAGTTTGAAGCCCCGAGGTAAATCATAAAAATATAAAAACATTAGAAATTGAGGTTTTTTTTTAAAATCAGTAAGTATTCTAAAATTACAAACAATTTTCAAGTACTTTACGGTAAGTCTTTAAAGAAAAGAAAAAAGCTTGTCTGGTGTGTTTTTATTAGGCATTTGTCTTCATTTTCTTTAATTTTCCTTCTGTCTTAGACATTATATTTATTTCCATACGTGAAACTAAGAAATATGAAAATGTTGAAAACATAAAAGTACCCAAAGAGTGACAATGTCATGCCAGGAATACAACATAAGCAGAAACAACAGTTTAGAGAACGTATAAACTAAAACTTAACCCAGGGATTTAAAATCAGTTTATGTTTTACTCATTAATGGTTTGACAGCACAACAGTAACAAAGTTGTTGCGATATGATTCAAAAGTCACCGCTGGTCTCATTGCTTAAACTACATATCTGTCTAGGGTTAGATTTCCTACAGCAGGCAGCTCAAGTTAATGCTACACATCAGGTGTGGAAGAGAAGTAAAAACATAGTGATACAGTCAAATGGCTTCAGCAGACAATTAGTCACTGCTGCAGCTAATCATCAAGGTTAACATGAAACAGAAATACTGTTAATAGATTGTGGGAAAAAAAGGAAGAAAAAAACACAATCAAATAAAATAAAAAAAAGCGTTTTATTACCTTTGGAACTAAAAACAACATCATCAGTTGCCTTTACGGTTTGTCTGACCTTTTTTTTCCTATAATTTGCATCTAACTATATTTTCTGCATATATTTAGATAAGGAAGATGACTCACTTCATCTGTTTCTGTGTTTCCAGTAAGGGGATACCATTCTTATACCATATTCCTGTTAAATAGTTTTTTGTCAAGAAAATCTAAATATAATAGTTCGGCTACCATTTGGAGCAGAAGCCCTTTAAGTGTTTTCCTTTGCTTTACTTGCTGCAGAGGGCTTTGTGTTGATTAAAATGTGCTCATTTGTTCAAAATCAGAATTTAAGCTGAGATTTCTCCAACCACTGTGGAGATCATGAGTTCCGATACACTTTGGCTCCGTGACATTTTAAATTTTTATCCCTTTGATATCAGATCAAAAGGGTGAGATATGAATCGTATGTTCTTAAGCTTCAAATTGGAGTCAAACATGTCTTTTAACATGTGCTAACAGTTTTCTCTGCCATTTTGATCAGGGCTCAAGATCAAACACAAGTCTCTGGTGGATCAGTAAAAAAAAATGAAACAGCTCTCGATCCTATCCGCAAGTTCTAACACAGCTGAGAAAAAAATTGCTTTGCAAAAAAGTTAGAACAACTCTTACTGTTCTGTTTGATCACCAAATATCTTAACTGCCGTTGAAAATAAATGAAAAATAATAAACAAATGATGGTAAAACTAAGCAGGCACCAAGTTCCAGAAGCCTGTATAACTATCCAGTAGCAACAGTTTAAAGTCGTCTGGATGACCTTGATTCTTTTTTAAAATCATTTCTCTTAATATTTGACGGTATGCTGGGATCATTGGACTATTGACCCAATTTATTCCAGGCTTCAGCTGTCAGACAGATGGCCTCACTGTCTCTAGACTCCAGAATAATTCGGGATACAGATGAGTCCAAGATCAGTTCAATGACAACAAGGTACATCATGTCCTGTGGCTGCAAAAAAACTCAACTTACTGCTTTAAAATGTTAAGTAGGACATGTTTGTGTGGATTTGCTATCTTTGGGTCTCATACACTCAGTGGGCCCTTTATTAGGTATCGGGGCAGTTCCATCAGAATTGCCTCAATTCTTAGTGGCACAGATTCATTAAGATGTAGAGATTCTTAGGGTTTTGGTCCAGGCAGACATGATGTCATTGTACAGTTGGTTCATATTTGTCACGTACACATCCAGGATGAGAAAATCCTTCATTCATCATATCCAATAGATGTTCTAATGCAGTGTTGCTCAATCTTCTGGGTGTTTGCCTGCTTTAACAAGTTTGCTTTCTATTGATGATTAATGGGCTTTTACTGAACTGTAATCATCTAAATCAGGAGTGTTAGTCAGGAAAAATCTAAACCATGCAGAGTGAATCAGAAATCTATTCAGATTCAAGTTTAACAGTAGTTTACAATGCATTCAGAAAGTGGAACAGCTATCTTAATGGAAATTCAGCAAAGTCTATGCAGAATAAGTAATATGGGCCTGATGATTCACTTTTTATAGGTACCAGCATATTATGGTGCTAAAGGGAATTAAATGACAGAAAGAACTCCAAAGAGGCCACTGGAAACACATTAGCAGATTTAGTTATCAGCTTTAGTCAAAAGAAATAGACATTTTAATAAAACAAAACATAAATGAGAAATTGCAAAAGTAATGGGAAAAAGAAAGGAAGCCAGGTTTTTCCATAAAATCAAAATAAAAATTGGAGAAATGAGAAGCACAGGGAGGAGGAGGAGAAAAGAGACAATAATTTCTGGTCTCAGATTTAGGCATACTGGGCTAAGTAGCACTCTTTTTAATTTGGTGAGACGTTGCAATGGTAAGTGTGAATACTGTGGAGTTGATGAGGCTGTAGAGCATGTTATGTTACACTGTGAAAATTACAAGGGTCAGACTGAGT